CCAGAGACGACACTGTTTCCTCTTTGAGGGTTGGTAAAGGCTATCTCAATTAGAACCAGAGACGACACTGTCTCCTCTAACTACTCAGCTGCAGCTTCCCTTCCCTCCTCCTCACGATCTCCACATGGTCAGATGCCAAGCTCACAGGCTCACTGGCTTTTACTACTTACCTTTAAATAGTTATGCTAATTCCAGTGATTATGCATGGAAAATTTACATATATTATCATTTGACTTTCAAAACAAACATTTGGAAGTGGCACATTTATCTCTAGAGAGATAAGTCTCGGAGCGTCTCAGGGAGTAAAGCTGCAGACAGCAGATTCAAACCTACTCTACCCGCCAGGCCATGCTGCCTTCTCTGATGAGCATGTGAGCATCTCAAATGTTTCCTAATTCATGGATACACACCCTTTGGTAGCTCCTGAGACCCACTGAAGGCCCATCTGCCAGAGTCTTCCTCCAGTGTCTCACACTCACTTTCTATTGAGTATTTCCCTTGCCAGCTTTCATGTTTCAAAATCTATTCCAGGCCAGGTACAGCGGCACACAGCTTTAATCTCAGTACTCAGGAGGCAGAGGCAAGTGGATTTCTATGAGTTCAAAGCCAGCCTGATCCACACAGTGAGTTCCAGGACAGCCAGAGCTACACAGTGAGGCCTTGTCTCAAATTAAAAATAAAACAATAACAACAACAACAACAACAAAAACCAGAAGAGGGAGGAGGAAGCTTGTTAGATTTCCTTGAGAAGCTTTTGGGTGGCTGGTAAGATGATTTTGCTGTGTGTTAAAACACTGGAGACCTGAAGAACCTGGCTAAGCACTGAGGAAGGGGCTCCAGCAGGAAGCCACACAAATGTCATGAAACAATAAAGAAGGAAACACATGTTTGTTGATTGACAGGTTGCTGTTGCTACTTCGAAATAGACAAAATGAGATGAGGCCACTGCATGAAATGTTTTCAGCTCCCAGACATGGATGGGGAACACCCCAGCCAGCTGGGTGATAACTGGCAAAGCTGGGTGAGAAGGGTCAAGAGAGGAGCATGGCAGCCGTTACAAATCCTGATGGTCTTCCAATGCATCATATCTTACACACAGTAGGTTCTCAATAACGGTACCCGGGGGGGGGGGGGGGGGGGGGGGGGGGGGAGGGACAGGGGGAGGGAGTGCTTCACTGTTGAGGAAGGGAGTGCAGGGTCGGCACACCTGCACATGCCAAGTGGGTGAACTACACAGAATATGAACACATCCCACCGGTGTTACCTTAGAGGGAAGGTTCACCACTGTCCAAATGCCACCTCCCCTTCCCAACTGTCCCTTTCCCCAACAACCCTCTTTCCATTGAACAGATTTTCACAGTGATATCTGGGACAGACCCTGGAAGCAAGCCAACAGCCAAACAAGCAGCTCAGAGAACAGCAGAGGTGACCAGTGGGTGCCACAGCTCCCAGATGGTCCCTTACGGCCATCCAGTCTCCCTTGAACTGCAGAGTACTCGGGACCAGAGCTGAGCACAAAATGGAGGCCAAGTGGGAAGTCCTTCATCCTGAAACGAGACCACACCTGAGGATGAAGAGCTAAGACCACACTGAAAAGTGCCAGCAAAATAGGTGAGAGGCAGGGACACAGGGTTGGGACGGACCTTTGGGGAGTGGCGGGTACCACAGCTGCTCTTGAGCAGCTGTATCTCTCACGCACTTCACGTGTCATCTTACCGTATCTCGCTAACCCTGTCCGTGTGCACAGCCTCGCATGCAGTGCGTGGCACATGCCCACACCACAGCTCTTCATCCTATTCCCATGCCAACAGGGTGTCAGGAAGACTGAGTCCAGGAAATGTCTAAGTTCTCCAGGTGTGAAGTGTCAGGGAGAAGAAGGAGAGTATAAATTCTCCTCGGGGAACCTGACCAGTTTGTGGAAAAGTGATTGATTGCTTCGATTGGGTTTTCTACGTGCCGGCCCCTTCCCAGTGGTTCACACCCATCTAACAGCTTAACCCTCCAGGTGGGTGTGTGTGCTGTCATCATCCCCATCACAGAGGTGAGAAAACAGAGGCAGAGACATGAAGTAGACATTTCAGGTTTACAAGTGATGACGGCAGGGCTGAGATGTGAATGCCAGCAGTTTTCATGCCAGCCCTTGCTGTTCCGCCAGTTCACAGCCAGGGAGCCTGGACACAGTATCTATGCTGTGTACATGGCTGTGGAGATGCGGCCTCTTAGCCAGACTCACTGCTCCCTTCAGATACTGCCTCTGCACAGGTCTAAGGAGAACTGTCCCAGTCTGGGTTATGGTGATATTTTGTACTGAAATGTGATTTTATTTGTATGTTAATAAATAAAGTTGCCTGGGGGTCAGAGCTAATAGCAAGCCATAGCAGAAGTCTGGCAGTGGTAGCACACGCCCTTAATCCCAATCACATGACAGGCAGATCTCTGTGTGTTCAAGGATACCACCAGCATGGAGTCACACGCCTTTAATCTCAATACCAACCATAGAAGACCTGGAGGTCTGTATAGATGGGCAGTGACAAGGAGGTCATGTGGTTGAGTTTACAACCAATGAGAAGGCAGAATAGAAGGTCAATAAAAAGGACAAACACAGAATGTAGGTCTCTTGCTGAGGAAGACAGCAGTGGCAGTGAAGGGTAAGGTTTTTAGCTCTTAGTTATTGCTCTGACCTCTTGGGCTTTCTTCTCTACATTGGTTCTGTGTTTCTTATTTAACAAGACGGTTACATCTACACTGGGTGATTAAACTTTTAACACATCTGTGTAGCTAAGGCATCTAGAAGCTTCCAGAGAACACATTTTAGAACACTAAAGGATTTTCTCAGGTTTTGCTAAACACCAAGGAAAGACAATGCCTGGCCCTGGAGACCAGCCAGAAAACAACTTCAGCTTCCTACTGTAGCGCCACCACCAGGTTAAACACGTGCACGGCAGTTATCACTACAGAATGAGTAGGGGCTGGAGGCAGCTCAGTGGCTCGAGCTAGTGCACATTCTGCTCTTTCAGAGAACCTGAGTTCAGTTCCCAGCACCTGCACCAGGCAGCTCACATCAGCTTTAACTCCAGCTCCAGGGCAGCAAGTGCCTCTGACATCAGAAGGCACCTGCACTCATGTGCACACACTGACACAGACAGACAGATGGACACTTACATAATTAAAAATAAAACAATTTTAAAAAATTACACTAAACCAGGCCTGGTGGACAATCTGAAATCCCAGACCTAAAGAGGCTGAGGCAGGAGGATTGCTGCAGGCTAGAGGCTAGCCAAAGCCACCTGGCAAAGGTTGTTTGTGTCCCCCAAGTGCCACTTACTGTATTTCCTGGGAACAGGTCTGCCAATCTGTCTAGTGTGTGTGTTTTTTGAAACAGGGTTTCATGTAGTCCAGGCTAGCCTGGAACTCACTATGCAGCTGAGGCTGGCCTGGACCTCCTAAGTGCAGGGGTGACAGCCATGTGCCACCCAGCTTTGAATGCTATTCATTTTTTTTTTAAGATTTATTTATTTATTATGTATACAGTGTTCTGTTTGTATGTATGTCTGCACACCAGAAGAGGGCACCAGATCTCATTATAGATGGTTGTGAGCCACCATGTGGTTGCTGGGAATTGAACTCTGGACCCCTGGAAGAGCAGTCAGTGCTCTTAACCTCTGAGCCATCTCTCCAGCCCTTGAATGCTATTCTTAAAGGCGGCTAAGAAGGCTGTCATGTGTGTGGTCTCTTTATTTTCACAGCACAAACAACTTACGCCGTGATTTTCTGGCCTCTTGAGTAAACACTGATTTAGGCAGATTAATATAAACCTGACTGAAAAAAAAAAATCAGTGTTTTGATTTCTGACACTCCATGAACCATTGAAGACAAAGAATTTCTTTAAATGATTCTTCGGCGGTACTCTGTTTCATTTTTGTTTTGTTTTCTGCTTTGGTGGCATTGTGCTGTGTTGTGTAAATCCATTACCCTCGGAGCGCTGCTGGGAAAGGCAAGCTGGTGTTCAGATCCATTATAGAAATGCCACGGCGCAGGGATGAGCCCAAAGTCAGCTCCAAAATGTTTACAACGCTGATATTTTTCAAATATAAGCTAACAGTCCTACTTTGTTTTATAATAATTCTCCCCCTAAATATTTCATTTAAAATGAAAATGTTTAAGGGAAAAAAACCCACAGCAAAACCACTGAGTCACACATCAACATTCAAATCCAGTGGCAACTGTACACCTGAAATCCCAGCCCTTCAGTGTGGAGGGGTCAGGAGTTCAAGTTTGTCCTTAGCTATAAGAGTACTGCTCAGGTCTTTGGGGTCAGACGGTTCCTCAAGTTCCAGACCTCTGTGCCCGAACACCCAGGCCCTGGCCCCATGACACCGTCAGCCTGCGCACCCCCCACTCCGCCCCTGGAGAGCATCCAGACTCCTCATACCCTTGCCTCTACTCTTGCTGTAGCAGGAATTGCAGGGTCTGGGTCACCTTCACCACCTGCAGACGGGACAGTAAGAAGAGTGAAAGTCCAGGTCGGAGGCCACCGCTCTGATTTATGAGCCTTTCCTTGTGTGACCTGAAGCTCAGATCCTCTCTCCTCTGTCAGTTCCTTTGGCTGCTGTTTCATCTGCAGCTGCCTCACTCTGGAGATAGCCTACACTAAACAGACGAAGCTATGTCCACAGACAGGGTAAGGTGCTGCCATGGTGAGGAACTAACATGGCTACGTACCCAAGCCCCACAACTTTTGCTGATATTTCTTATTAGAGGGTGATGCATATTTTCCTTAGGACAGGAAAAAATACTAGAAACACTTGAGCACAGAAGCCACGTAGAAGCAGAGCTCTGACATCTGGAGTGAAATATCACAACTGGGATTGATAATCTGAGTCCATGGCTTACCTTTGAGACCAAGCCTAATAACCATCCATTAGGGGCTAGCCTAACAACTCCAGCTGGTTAGAGCACTGGCTGCTCTTCCAGGGGCCCAGGTTCAATTCCCAGCTTACCTTGCTCATAAAGCAGCTGCATGTTTGAGTCTTTGTAAGCAACCAGATTGTTGAGTAACGCGATCACACTCTGCATGGTATTACCCAGAATGCTTTCCTGATGCTCCTACAATAGACCAGACAGAAATACCATTACATCATCCTTGAGACAACCACCTCTCTCTATCATTCTCCAAATAAGGCTGAAGGATTCCCTGTCTGGACGGTCATGGAGCAGGTCCAGAGGTTAGGTCCCTCCCCCTAGAATCCCAGGAGGCACTGGGAGAGAGAGAGCACCAAGCCTCTGTGCTGAGAGCTGAGAGAGAGAGAGCACCAAGCCTCTGTGCTGAGAGCTGAGAGAGAGAGAGCACCAAGCCTCTGTGCTTCAGGTAGGTGGCACTGGAGGCACTAGACATCAAGTGTGGGCTCTATGTAGGACAGCAATTCTGTTACCTGCCACCCAAGCCATATCGGATGTGATGGTCCCACCCCTGCTGGAACCTGCAATGTGTGAGCTCTCGGGGGACTTGACTTCCTCAGCATGCAACATCACAGAGCAGGATAACCCAGGTCCCAGGACTGTGTGGATGTAAGGCCATCATTTTATATATATTTATATATATAGAGAGAGACAGGGTTTCTCTGTGTAGCCTTGGCTGTCCTGGAACTCTTCTCTGTAGACCAGGCTGGCCTCGAACTAAGAGATCCAACTGCCTCTGCCTCCTGAGTACTGGGATTCAAGGCATGCACCACCACTGCCCAGTTTCATGAAAGGCTGCTTCTAAGGGCCAAAGTATCACAAACATAACAGCTTTTCTCGTGCCACTTTGTCATTTCTTTCTTAAAAACTAAAGCCATCAATGATAGCTAGTTATTACATCTCACAGAATTCAACAGAAGAGACAATGTTTAATTCCGGGACTGGTGTGAAGTGGGGTGACAGACACCCTGGGGTGGATTCATACACATACTCATTGAACACAAATGCTTCTAGAATTCTTGTCCCTTACTACAGTCCCAGCTCCAGGCACATGCTAGAAGCAGGAGCGTGCCAGCTGAGCAGGCACCAGGTAGACCTGCCCCGCCCCACCCCCACGTCCCTTCCCACCCACAGTTAGCTCTATTTTCAAGCATGAATCATATTTGGGAACTAATGAAAGTCTATTTTGTGCCAGATGGTGCTCTAGGAACTAGAGGGAGACTGGAGAACAGGACCCCTCATCCTCACAGACACGGACCTGAGGCAACAGCATGGTCAGTAAATTAGAAAGAAAGGGGAAACTGAGGCAAGTGCTGGGAGGGCAGCCCTGGGGCTGTGCCTGCTTTAAATAGGGGACCTCTGTGAAGGTAAAACTGGATGGAAGTGTATTCCTTTCTAAAAGCTGAAGCATCTTTGAATTCCCAGGGCTAATCATTCGAAACAAACTTCCTGCCTGGACCAAGAACTGAACCTCCAGTCTCCTGCAAGCAAGCCACACCAGTCGCATCTCCGCCCCATGTCAGCACCTTACCCGAGCACACCAACACTATCAAAACAGATAATAACTAAGTGAAGGCCTTGTTAAAACTTTACCAGGTGCCAATAATGTCTTTTCCAGCTCCAGGATCCCATATGTGTTGCATTTAGAATGATTTTAGTTTTTGCAACAAATATTCAGGACACCCGAAGTGTCCTTGGCTGGTATCAGGAAATAAAGACAGGCGGGAAAGCCAACCCAAATCCTGCCACGATGGAGTCTACCTCGCAGAGGAGGGAGAAGGCCATGAGCGTAGTAAAGACTGGCATGAAGTGCAGAAAGTGGCAACTCACTGACAGCAAAACCAGTAAAGAGTGGTCGGGGATAGGTGGGCAAGAGCTGCAGGCCTGAGTGTGCTGTAAGCCACGACCTGCAGAACAGCAGGCGTCTATGTCAGGAAGGGACAGCGACCATCGTCAGACCTCCCAGGGTCACCTACTCTATCCCACAAATGCTTTTGTGCTTTGGTGTCTGTCTCCAGGAGGCCTGGAGGGCAGCTACAGGCTTGGCAAGATTTTGCCAACAGAACTTTATACTCTGTTTCTCTCAAACTCCTCCACTTGGGCATCTGCACCTTGGCCCAACTTTGTGACTTTGAGTTCTCCTAGGAAATCATCTACAAGCCCAAGTTTTGAAGCCCACTGCTTTTAAGTCACACAGAGCACTCTCTGCAGCCTTCTGGAGTCTTCTCTCAACCCTGCTTACCTGTCCCTTTATACTGCCCACACTCAGGGTGGCTAGACTCAGAAAACCTTTGAGACACAAGACTTGTCTGGAAGCCACCTTCCCATTGCTCTGAGTTCTGAGTCATGTGACCATACTGTCTCCCAGGTCCACAGTACACTGGCATTGCCCTGCTCACTCCTGACTGGGCCCCTGGCTAATTAACTAACTGCACTTGGTCAAAGCTTTAGGGTCGGTGAGATGCCGTCAGTCTTCCTCACTGTCTGTGACTTCTAACTGCCTGGGATCAGAGAAATAAACCTGGGCCGAGAGGCCAGGAGCTTCGGGAGAGGCACGTGGCTTCCTGAGCTTACAGAGTAAGTGTGTGCCTGTGACTGGAACCTTCCTCTGGGCCGATCCATCCCACTGCACAGAGGCTCCTGACTCCATGTAGGTTGGGTGGTACCATCTCTGTCTCAGACACAAAACAAGGTGTGGGCTTTCCAAGGACCAATGTCTAGCACTGATTTCAGAAGCACAGAGCACGCTCCTGGGGTGGAGGTCCACAACCCAGTGTTTCCCTGACACCAGCTTAGGATGAATGTGGAGGTGGCTGCATGCCACCAACTCCATCCACTGATGCTCACAATGCTTCCGATGGTAGAAGAAGAGGGTGATTAATAAGAGCCAAGATGACACAACACACTGTTCTTGATACAGTAACTAACGACACACAGCAAAGCTGTTCTTGTGGAAGAAAACAGGGCCAATCTGGAAAACGACACAGCCACTTCTTGTTCACAGGCCAATCCCGATGGAGATAAATCTAGTGATAATGTAAGTGCTCATGATGGAATGTACTCTTTTAATCTTGTTTTTATTATTTTTAAAGCCATTGTCTCATTATTAGACCAGGAAATCAGTTTTGGCCTGGAAGCCACAGCAGCACTCAGTCTCTGCTGTCCACGCTGGGATTCCACAAAGGAGGGAGCCGCCACATGGAGTTGAAATAACACCATCTCTCTTAAAACCTGAGCCTCCAGAGACCAGAAATGGAGGCTGTCCTGAGCTGTGGGCCACTGCTGCTCCTTGCCAAAGGCCTCCATTAACATGGTGGCCCCTCAGAGTGAAGGCCTCTATCAGCCACATTACTCCATCTACAGGCTTGGAGAAAACACCCTGGTATCACACGTTCTCACCAACATTTCAGGGTTTGGGGGAGGTACTGTGCATCAAATATGAAACAGCATTTGGTACACAGTATAAAAGATGAGTCCACAGGCACTCTGGAGACAGTTCCCTTTCTTTCTCAACTTTGCTCAAAGCACTGTTCTCACCTTCTTTACTTCCAAGCCATCATAGACCCTGAACCTCATATATCATAAAGTGAGGACTCCATAAAAACAATGTTCTAGAATTATCTTTGCTTGCTTTTCTAGCTATAGGTAACGGGCTTCTACATGGTGCAGGTGAGCAGAGTCTGCAGACTGTCCCTCTGTGACTCTGTGCTCACAGTGAGGAGATCGAGAGCAGCTGAGGACCAGGCCATGGGGAAACACGAATGTGAGTTAAGCCCACACCCGCTACCATATATCGAGCTGAGTTACCTCAGTTCTTAGACCTAATGAGGTTTTTATCTCTTGAAGTCAGTGCAGATTATCTTGGGAAGGAAACGTGGCAGTGGGTGGGCACCTCTGCTGGGTGGGTACCTCTGCTGCGTGGGCACCTCTGCAGCGTGGGCACCTCTGCAGCGTGGGCACCTCTGCAGCGTGGGCACCTCTGCAGCGTGGGCACCTCTGCAGCGTGGGCACCTCTGCAGCGTGGGCACCTCTGCAGCGTGGGCACCTCTGCAGCGTGGGCACATCTGCAGAGGTGCTGCCAGGACACAAGGCCCCAGGAGCTGGTGCAGACTAGGCAGAGCTGCAGGAGGGGGTGGTTCTGGTCAGAGGCCAAGTCACCAAGTCACCAAGGGTTGCTCCTCTGGGTTAGCCCTTGCCCTCCCCCGAATATATGCCTAAGTTCTGGGGTGAGCAGAGAGTAACAGGAAGCAGGGTAAATCATCTCTCCCTCCCCCACCCCAGTTCCTATGGCTCCTTAGACAAGGAGGGAGCCAGCAGCACTGTGCTCTCCTGACACCATGCAAGCAGGGGAGGAAGAGACAGGCAAGCGCCCAGGGCCTTGCGGTCAGACCTTAGAGCATGGCGGGGAGTCTAGACGCCACAATCAGCAGAGTCCACCTCACAGGTGGTCTTAGGATGGACAACACAGCAACACAGGAGAGCATCTCGTCTGGGCATCTCTGTCACCCTTACAAAGGCAGATGAGGGCAGAGGTGACCAAATGGTAGAAGTGACCAGACCAAGCACAACCTGCCACACTCCACAGTGGCAAAATTGGAGCTCAATCTAGGCTGGTGGTGGCCATGGCCTGTGCATGCGACACTGAGACAGGTAGAGAAATGGGGAGTCAGGCCAGTCAGCACTTGGGTGGGCCGTGTGCCCACACCTGCAGACCTGTCAGGTGACCTGAGAGGAGCTGAGAGGAGTGGAGACTGACTCACACCTGTAATCCAAACTCTTGGAAGGCAGAAGGATCGCCCAGAGTTCAAGGTCAGCCTGGGCTACAGAACGAAACTCTTGTCTCAAACAAAGAAACCTAAAGCAGTCTGGAGCTGAGGCACAGGAGGGAAGGGACCAGAAATACTGACGGGGGCCACAACGGGGCCACACGCCCTCTCTCCTTTTGTGCTACAATGTACCTAGCCTCCACTGCTACCACTGGGATCTTCTGGTTTCCAAAGAGCCCTTAGCATCGATCCCTAAACTCGAAGGACACTTGTAGTTCTTAGCAGCTACAGTACAGAAAGAATAAACACACCACCCAAGATAATACCGTGCAGACTGCAGCTGCTAAGAGTCATGTTTCCAGACACTGGTGTTATCATGGG